CACATAACAACAACGACAACATCTTGTCATTGGAGAGCTTTGGTGGCCTTGTGGCAAGAAGCTGTGCTGCAATCCTGAAGGCACATGGCTTGATATGCAGCCTCCTCCCTTGCAATTAACTGCCTCTGAAAATGAAGGGTAGGTTCTGACTATACGGTACAAAACAACAACCTGTCATTACTTGCAGTGCAAGAAAGCTTCACCTCTGTCAGCAGCTTATTTCCTTGCAACTTTTCCCCCTTGGCCACCTACAGCTACTTCTTCTTTTACTACAGCTACATCCTCTTTTTATTTCCTTGCTTTCCTTCCAAAGAAGAGTTCACTCAGCATTTGCATTGTGGTAACTACTATAAGGAGTGTTGGACATCTAGAAAGATTTTCGAGAGTAAGTCTTCAACACATTAGTTAACACTGTCCTCACTGAGGTTTTCTTTCCCAGTTGGTGACCATAATGCTATTTTTATAATAGGAAACACGGCGTGATTTAAAATCAGGAAATATGTGCACCAGAGTTGTTTCCTTTCTCTATACATATTTCTTTAGTATGCTGAGCAAATAATTCTAGAAACTAAGACTATAAAAAGAATTATTTTACATTAGGGCTGGAGGAAGAATCATCAACAATCTGCATTACACAGATGACACAACCTTGCAGAAACTCAGGAAGATTTGCAGCACGTACTGCAGATCAAAGACTACAGCCTTCAACATGAGGTACATCTCAACATCAAGAAAACAAAAGTCTTCACTGAACCAATAGGCAACATCATGATAAATGGAGAAAAGATTGAAGTTGGCAATGATTTAATTTTACATGGATCCACAATCAACACTTATGGAAGCAAAAGTCAAGAAATCATCCTAAGATATGTTGCATCAGGAAAATCTGTTGCCAAGGACTTTGCAACGTGCTAAAGAAAAATTTAAACAGCAAACCAAATTATTTTCAATTGCTTATTGTGCACCTGAAAATTGGACAATGAATAAGTCTGACTGAAGACGTTTTGATGTCTTTAAATTGTGGTGTTAGAGAATATTGTATGTTATATAGAATATGAAAAAACTGAATATACCAAAAGAACAAACAGGTCTGTCTTAGAGGAAGTGCAAACAGAGTGTTCCTTAAAGGTAAGGATAGTGAAACTATCTTTAGACATGTTATAAGGAGGGGCCAGTCTGTGGAAAAAGACATCACGCTAGGAAAGTAGATCAGCAAAAGGGAGGAAGACCTTCAAGAAGATGGATTGACATATTGATTGTGACAATGGGTTTTAGCATGTTAGGTATTGTGGGGATGGATCAGGATAGGCGGAATCTGTTCTTTATAGGGTCACTATAAATCATAGTTGACTAGACTGCATTCAGAAAAACCAATAAGATTTTTAAGTTTAACTTGGATTTTAAATTTAACTTTTGAAAAGGAATGTTTCTTTGATGTGTCTTGCCCTCTTTATTCTCCTTCTTACTCTCCTTGCTGTTGAGTAGGAACTGGCTCAGAGTTGACCGTGTTGTGGTTTTCTGAAGCTGTGAATCACATGGGAGATTGCTCATCTTTCTCCTGCAGAGTTGTTGATGGATTTGAACCATTGGAGAGTTTGGGTTTAACAGTGTTTCCTGTTCATTACAGACCTATCAGAGCTCCCTTTCTTCTTACACTTTATTATTTCCTACAAGCCTTCAGATTTTGTTTCTTAAATTGTATTGATAGCATCCTAGCTAGTAACCCTTAGCCTCCCTTCAGGAAGCACATGCCCTTCCATTGCTAGAAGTGCTGTAGACCATGGCTGTCAGCCCCTTCGGGGATTGCCTCAACTGCAGAAACTTTCCTAAGTTAGGGGGTTAAGCCCTTCCTATGAATACCCACATCAAATGACTAATTAAGGCAGATGTGGAAGGTTGTTTCTGTTGTTGTTAAGTGCCATCGAGTATGACTTATAGTGACCCTATGAAAAACAGACCTGACTCCTTTCCTACCCTGTGCTATCCTCATCATCTCTGACACAATTGAGTCCATTGCTGCAATCACTGTTTCAATCCATCTCATCAAGAGGAGGGTGTCCTCCTCTCTTTAACTGACCCTCTACCTTTCCAAGTGTGATGTCCCTTCCCAAGGAATAGCTTTGCGTAGCAACATGCCCAGAGTATGAGAGATGAGACTTCACCATCTTTGCTCCCAAGGAGCACTCTGTTTGCACCCTTTCCCTACACATATCTGTCTGTTCTTGTGGCAGTCCATGGGATATTCAGTGCTTTTCAATACCACAACTCAAAAGCATCAGTTGTTCTTCTGTCATCCTTATTCATTGTTTAACTCTCAGATGTGTCACAAGTGATTGAAAAGACCTGAATGGAAATGAAAATGGAAAATGGCCTGAATTAGGTGCACCTTAGTCTTAAGACTGACATCATTGCTCTTCAGTATTTTGGAAAGGTCCTTGACAGTAGTCTTGACAGCCAGCCTAGTGGTAAGGAACTGCATTGCCAAACCAAAGGCTTATGGTTCAAATACACCAGCTGCTCCATGGTAGAAATATGGGCAGTCTCCTCCCCTGTGGATTTTTTTTTATTCTGACAAAACTCTGGAGGGTTAACTATGAGTTGACTGGATGGTACATAACAACAGCATAATGACATGGAAGGAAGCTATTAAATACCCTGACAACTTAGGCCTAAAGTAGAAAACTCTAATATACTTCTTTAGCTCCAGAGCTTACCTGGAGCCACCACTGGTCTCATTATGCTTGTGTAGCAGGCTGATTCTGCTTCGCAGGTACTGAGATATAGGAAGTCTCTAGGTGTACTACCCCAATGTGCCAAATCTCATCTAAGCTATGTGAATAAACAATGCTGATAATGAATATAAGTCCATTCTACTGTTTAACCTTCCATCCATGCAATTTCTTTTCAAGGAAGGCAGTTTGAAAGATATCCATCACCAGCTTCAAGGGAGAAAGTTCGGTAATCTCTTCCTCTTTGATTTATAGTCTCAGAAATATGATGGAAGTTCAGCTATAAATTGGTTCTGACTCAACGGCAATGAATTTTTAAAATATAATTTTCCTTACTCAATTGTTAATTATACTTCTGAATAGTTTCTTTCTAGATATATATTTACATACCTTTGTTGTTGTTAAGTGCCGTTGACTTATTGTGACCCTATGAATGAAAGACCAGAACACTTGTATAACTTTCATCGTTTCTCCATGTTCCTAGAGTTTCTGGAGGCAAGCTATTTCAGAAGTGGATGCCACTTCTACTTCCAAGCTTGTTTTAATTGAGGAGGAGCTCCACCAAACACCAGTAACCATGAGTAAGCATTATTGCATTTGATACACCAGTGTCACAGTGTCTAGTATCACAGCAACCACAAATTACCTCTGTACAGCAAATGGACAGACCAGTGCTATACCACTTAGAAGAATATTTGACAAAAAAAAAAAACCAAACCAGGCTGGAGGGCCATAGATTAAAATCATCCAGGAGGCTGAATAAAAGCAACCCAATGGCAAGTAAACATTCCACCTTAATCTTCACCAGAACCACAAAACAAACCTCTGCAAAATCCAGCTGCTCCAACCTGGATTCCAGCCCCATACTGCTGACCAAATATGTTTTTAAATAGGAGGCCATCAACTCACACCCAACGGTGAGTAAATATTTCACCCAAACCCTTAGTATGATTAAAATCTAGAAGGAAGTTAGGGGGAAAAGAATCTTAAATTTTAAAAAACTGAATGCTCAAAATGATGTTCTAGTTTGTGTTAGTAAATCTTTTTTTTTCTTCTCCCTCTTTTATTGTGTCTATCTAATTTAAACTGATAAACATTAGCACAAATATTCTAGGTAATAATTTTCTCAAATTACCTTCTTAAAATCTTCAGTTGTGAATTGTTTAGATGCTACATAAAGCAGCCCTTCTGGATCAATGGCTTTTTTTAGAGTATGGTGTACAGTCGGGAAAAGTGGGTGACAAGGAGATGAATCATTGCAGTTAATCAGTAATCCAAATGCCTCAATAAGATTAGCTGGAATCAAACTGCAATCCTACATACAACCAAGAGGTCAAAAGCAAAGAAACTAGTTTCTTTAGCAATTTAGAATTAACATAAGTTATTATTAAAGTGGATAAGTGATTCCATAATAGGAATTTTGTGACAATCAGCTTTAAATATATCTGTTAAGTATTTTTGTACATATTATTTATTAAATAGCTTTATACATTTACATTAAAAACTAATTTCTAGTAAATAGACACTTATTTGCATTAATAAAGAACATTAATAATTTTAAATGCCTCTATGATTATTTACCACAAGTACTGGACTAAGAAAGAAGATAGGTTAATAAAAATATTTTAAAAAATACACTAAAATATGTGACTAAATTCCATGAGAAATAGTGGGTTTTTTTCCCTTTATGGTTGTCATAAATAAATTTTAAAAAGTTATCATAAATAAGCATGTAATACAACATGCCAATTTAAATGTTTTCCATAGGATATCAATTTACAGACTAAGATATGCCTACACATAATATTTCAGTTGCTTCCTGTGCATCTGAAAAATGGACAATGAATAAGGAATACTAAAGAAGAAATTTTTCTTTTAATTGTGATATTAGCATAGAATGTCCAAGATACTGTGGAATACCAAACAAACAAATGTATCTTTGAAGATATACAGCCAGAATGCTCCTTGAAAGAAATATTGTGAGTCTTTATTTCATATACTTTGAGCATGTTGTCAGGAGGGCTCTAGAAGATCATGCTTGGGAAAGTGGAGAGTCAGTGCAAAAGACCCTCAATGAAATGGAATGAAAGAGTGATCGCAGCAATAGGTTTAAGTGCAACTGAGACTGTGAGGATGAGGCCAGATTGGGTAAGGCTTTGATCTGTTGTACACAGCATTGCCATTTGTTGGGGTCAACTCAAAGGCACCTAATAACAGCAGCATGTGTCCAATTTAGTGACATTAACTTCATTTTTCATGTTGTGTAAGCTTGACCAATACCAGTTCTCTGGGAAGTCATTTAACAAAACATGCACCTTACCATCTGACCAATCAGAGTGTTTGTTTTCTGCACATTTCTTCTTGGTGATGAATCCATATCAACAAAAGACCAAAAACTACACTGAACTGGGAAAGCCATTTGCCGATCTGTATCATCCCCAGACTTCTTTCCTGGAATGTAAACTGTGATGCTTCTGCTCTCTAGGACTAAGCCAGAAGACATTGCCAATTGTTACTTGGGGAAATAACATACTGGTTTATACATCTACAAATTGATAACAAATATTATTATATAGGTCTAGTTGAAGAAGAGTATTGAATATTCCATGAAGACTAAACGAACAGGTATGTCTTGGTAAATGTGCTGTGTTCCTTGGAGGCAAAGATGATGAAGCTTAGTTTGATATGCTTTAAGGATGTTACTAAGAGAGGCCTTTCTTTGGAGAGGATGGCATTCTTGGAAAGGTGTAGGGTCAGAGAAAGAAAGGAAGACCTTCAACATAGTGACAGAGTGCATAGGAGATTGTGAGGATGGCACTGGATAGGAAGGAGGTCAGGTCTGTTGTTAATAGGGTCACTATGAGTATACTGGATGACACCCAACAACAAGAACAAACAGTAAGAAGTTATACTGCAATCCTTAAGGTATGAGGTTCATATCCGCCAGCTGCTCTGCAGGAAAACAATAGGCAATCTCCTTCTGTGTGATTAATTGCCTCTGAAAACCCACTAGAGAGTTTGCTATGGGTCAGTTCTGACTCGATAGCACACAACAACTATATGAGTGTGTAATAGAGAAATACTGGGAGTAATACTAACAGAGCAAGGAGACATAGCATGGTTCAAAACTGAGAAGGGTGTATACCAGGGATGTATCCTACCTCCCTACCTTTTCTGTAATATGCGGAACAGATTATCCAGGAGGTTGGGCTCTATGAGGAGAATATAGCATCAGGATTGGAGGTAGACTCATCAACAATCTGTGTTATGCAGATGACACAACTCTGCTTCCTGAAACTGAGGAGGACCTGGAATGCCTGCTGCAGAAGGTCAAGAACTGCAGCCTTCATTATGGATTGAAGCTCAACATCAAGAAAAAAAGATTCTCACTACTAGGCCGATTGGCAGCATCATGAAAGATGGTGAAGAGATTGAGATTGTTGACAGCTTTAGTTTGCTTGGCTCCACGGTTAACACTCTTGGCACCAGCAGCCAGGAAATAAAAATACAAATTGCATTGGGAGAGTCTGCTGTCTGAGACCTCTCCAAAGTATTGCAAAGCAATGATACTAGTCTGGAGACTAAGGTGTGTCTGCTATGCATCGGAAAGCCAGACAATGATTAGGGATAATAGAAGGAGAATTGATGCCTCTGAGCTGTGGTGCTGGAGAAGAGTGTTGAATATATCATGGACTGCTAGGAGAACAAATAGGTTCGTCTTAGAGAGGGTGAGACCAGGTTGCTCCTTGGAGGCAATGATTCTGAAACTTCATCTGACATACTCTGGACATGTTGCAAGGAGGGACCAGTCCTTGGAGAGGGACATCATGCTTAGGAGAGTGGAGGGACAGCACAAGAAAAGAATACCCTCAATGAGATGGATTGATTGAGTCCCTGGGGTAATGGGGGTAGGTGTGTCAGAAACAATAAGCTTGGCACAGGATAGAGCAGGGTTTAGGGCTATTGTACATAGGGTCACTATGAGTCACAAGTGACTTGACAGCACATAACAACAAAACAACAATATGAATGAAACATAATAGGGCAGAATAGAACTGAAATTAAACATACATTTAAAATAAAATTTATCATTTAATTATTATTCCCAGAAATAGTTCTTCTTGTGATCATTATTTACATTTAAATGGAACTGAATTAAATAGAATTTATAGTCATCCACTCAAAAGTCCAAAAAGTGGAAATATTTTACTCTCTTCCATACTGTCTCTATCCCTTTTATGCATTCAGCCTAATGATTCAACCCTATTTCTAAGATTTTACCTCCTTACAGAAAGGGCATGACTGGTCCACCACCACATGGAGACCAGATATGCCTGTTACCACCCTTCTTTCCTTTGCCAGGAGCACCAATATCACAGGTGCTTTGGTCTTGAACATACTGTCTAGCTATATCACATGGGATTTCTTAAGTTCAAGCAGAAGAGGCTGAGTGGAACTATGGTTTCTGGAGGGCAAAACACTCCTCTGTTCTTCCATTCAGGTAATTTAGACTTGAACATGGCTATCTGGCTACATTACATAGGATTTCTTAAGCTCAAGTGGAAGGCTGGGTGGAGTGTAGTTTCTGGGGGCAACAATCATCCCACTTTGAGCCAAGAGAGGAGCACCAATATACAGGTCCTTCACAAAACATTGCTATACCCTGAGACATATAGTTACAATCTAACATCCATTAAGAAAAGATACATACAAAGTCAAGAAAACAATAGTCTTCCCCAGTCATCATGAAAGAATAACTCTTCTCCTAATAAAGAAGACCCAATGAATACAACAGATAGAGAGAAGCAGTAAAAATATGTTGATGTGGAGTTATTTGAACAGCTATAGAAGAAGATGAAAATGATGGAGGAAGCAATGGAAGCCATCAAGAGAGAAAATACCCCACATATGGTGATCCAGAAGAAATACATTGATGAGGAACACTTTGAACAGCTATGGAAGAAAATAAAAAATATGGAAGAGAGAATTGATGGTATAGAAAAAGAGGTACAAGCACTTAAAAAATCATCACAAGACAGAGAGGATATAGCCATCACAATACTGGAATTAACAGAAAAACATGAAAATGGAATCCAGAATCCAGAATCCAGAATATTTTTAGACCAAACTTGTAAAAGTGTCTGACATGGTGGCGGGACAAAAAAAGTAGAACTGAAGAGATGGAACAGAGAGTCAGTGAGATGGAAGACAAAAGCCTCACTGGAAACAGAAGAAAAATCAGAGATGAGATGTAAAGAAAGTGAAAAAACCATTAGAATCTTATGAGATGGCATCAAAAGAAACAATATACGTATGATTGAAAATCCAGAACATGAGAGTGACAGGAAAGTCACTGAGAAAATAGTGGAAGAAGTACTAAAAGAAAACTTCCCAGATATATTGAAGAATGGGGTAATCCACATTTAGAAGCACAGCGAACACAAAATAGACAAGATCTAAATAGAAAACATCAAGACATATAATAGTAAAATTCTCCAAATTAAAAGATCATGATAGAATATTAAAAGCAATGTGAGAAAAACAAAGAGTCACCTACAAAGAGATTAAGCTCTGATTCCTCAGTGGAAATCGTGTGAGTTAGAAGACAATGGGATGCCATATACAGAAAGTTTAAAGAAAGCAATTGCCAGCTGATGATCCTATACCTAGCAAAGCTCTCTATCAAATATGAAGGAGAAATTAGAATCTTTGCAGAAAAGAAGAAACTTAAGGAATTTGTGAAAACAAGATCAAACTACAAGAATTTTTTTTTCAAACTACAAGAAATTTTAAGTGAAGTTACTCACATGGAGATGCCAAAGGAAAGTGGATAGATCATAATAACCAGAAACAACAGAAAAAGAAACACAGCAAAATTGCAACTGTAAAACCTGGCTTGAAAATGATCACATTTAATGTGAATGGACTAAATTCACTGATTGAGAGAAAAAAAGTAGCAAAATGGATAAAAAAAAAGCCCATTAATAGGCACATCAAGAAAATGGAAAGACAAACTCAAAATCAAAGGCTGGAAAAAATATACCAAGCAAATGGCAATCACAAAAAAGAAATACTAATCTCTGATAAAATAGACTTCAGAATGAAAACCACCATAAAAGATAAGGAAGGGCATTACATATTGATTAAAGGCACAATAGAACAGAAAGACATAGCTTTGGTCAACATTTATGCACCACACTACACTTGCAAAATACATAAAACAATGGTTAACAGAATTGAAGAAAAAAAAAGAAGCACCTTAATAGTGGTAGGAGACTTTATCAGATCACCATCACCAAAGGATAGATCAACTTAAAGGAAACTTAACAAAGATGCAGAAGATCTAATCTATACAATCAGCAACTCAACCTTGTGGATGTATTCAAGATACTGCATCCACCTAAAAATTAATTCTCTTTCTTCTCAAGTGCACATGAGACATTCTCCAGAATCACTTACATATTAGGACACAAAGGAAGCCTCAATAAATTAAAAAACAAAGTATCTTTTCAGACCACAATGCCATAAAACTAGAAATTGACCACAGGAGAGTAAAGCTTACAAAACCACCCATGTGGAAACTATATAACTCTCTGCTAGAACACAATTGGGTTATAAAAGATATAAAGAATGAAATTTAAAAGTTTCTTAAAATAAATGAAAATAAAAATACAACATACCAAAACCTCTGTGAAGCACCTAAGGCAGTCCTCAGGGTGTAGTTCACAGCAATAGGCACACATAAAAAAAGGAAGAAAGATGAAAAATAAATGCTCTAACTCAACACCTTCATCAAACAGAAAAAGAACAACAATCTAATCCTACAGCCTCTAGAAGAAAGGAAATTATAAGGACAAGAGCTAAAATCAATGAGATAGAGAAAAACAATTGAAACCATCAATAAGACCAGGAGCTGGTTTTTTGAAAGGGCTATCAAAATTGACCCACCACTTGCAAACTTAATAAAAGGAAAAAAGACACAGATAATAAAGAAATGATAGAGGTGACATCACAACAGAAACAGATGAAATTAAATAGATAATATTAGAGTACTGTGAAAAGTTATGTTGTTGTTGTTGTTGATATGTGCAGCCAAGTCACTTGTGACTCATAGCGACCCTATGTACAACAGCCCTAAACTCTGCTCTGTCCTGTGCCAATCATACTGTCTCTGACACTCCCATCCTGATTACACCAGTCACTGAATCAACCCACCTCATAGAGAGCCCTTTCCTCCTGCGCTGTCCCTCCACCCTCCCAAGCATGATGTCCCTCTCCAAGGACCGAGTCTCTCCTTACAACATGTCCAGAGTATGTTAGACGGAGCCTCAGAATCTTTGCCTCCAAGAAGCCACCCGGTTTTACCCTTTCCAGGATGAATCTGTTTGTTTTCCTAGCAGTCCATGGTACCCTCGATACTCTTCTCAAGCACCACCACTCAAAGGCATCAATACTACTTCTATCCTCCTTAGTCATTGTCCAACTCT